TTCTTGACTCAGGATCAGCAAATATTTTGACACCACCATTTTTACATTAAAAGTGGCATTTGAAGGAACAAATCTGAAGAAATAGATTGATTACTCTGGTCATATTTGGCCCCAGATGCTGGAAGAATCTTTGCTGTAATTCCCTACATTGCTGTCTTGACAGAGCCTAATGCGGGTCTCAGATTCTTTTGCTAGAGTCACACTTTGTGTGTTTGGGAGCCCAGGCAGAAGTGGAAATCAGGAAAGTTGTAGGAATGGCCTAGATAATCCACAAAAGTACGTACGTAAAGTCTGGGACCAGAGAGGAAAAGGCTGAGAACCGAGAACTGGCAATAAGCCTACTGAGAAAGTGCTGAAGGCTCTGGACGTTTGATAGCTCTGGGACATTTATGACTCTGCCACCCCCAGGGGCCAAATTGTCCTTTCCTCCAAATTGCGTGCTGTCTACCTAGCCCCTGGAGTTCTCTCATGGGTCCTCCCAGACTCCATGTTGGAGGTTCTCCTCTGCCTCCATGGCCTCATTTCCTGAGACCTTGGAGGTCATGTCCTGTCTACTCAAGGAACATGCGTGCAGCCAGGTAGGCTTTCGTGTGAGGAATATCAAGTACTTCCTTAGGTTTGATTATGACGATACATCTCTTACTGTCTTATATTGCCTAGGATTACTATAATTTTATCAGCCAGTCGGTCCCTAAAGTATTCTCAGTCCAAGAGACCTTTAGGACCCCTGGTATACCAAAGAATATTAGAGAGCACGTCCTTACTAGCACCAGACTCTGGGGGAGGAGAGGGAGCAGGGGTTGGCATCCTGTTCTTCTCCTGTCATGTGAGCAGCAGCTCTTGCTCAGGTTAAATCCCATGTAGGTTAGAACTGTGTATGACCAAAAATAACAGAAAAATCAGATAGAGGGTATCTTTCTATTTTTCTGTCTGGAAGCAAAGGCTGAAGCAATGCTTTTTGATGTTGTCGAGAACCCATGCTCCCCCATCTTTTTCTGTGTGCCTTTTGCCTTCATGGCCAAAAATGTCTCCTTCATCTCCAAGTGCAATGGATGCCTTCCAGGGAGGAAGGGGGCTAGGAGAATGGGCCGCATTGGTGACTTCTGTCCTCCTTCAGTAGGGAAGCAAAGCTTCCTCAGAACATTCCTCCTCAGGTGCCTTTTCCCCGCATCCCTTTGGCCAGAATTGCATCCAGTAGCCATCCCTTATTGCAAGGAAGTCCAGTGAATGGACTTCCCACCCTCTGGGGAGAGGAAGGCAGAAAAGGATGGTTACTTGTACAGAGGGAGCCAGCCTATAGTGTCTGCCATAGATCACAACATAAAGCCCTTCAGTAATCGAAGTCATCCGCTCTATGGCCTTCGCTTGCCGAATATCCCTTTCCTTCCTTCTATCCCCAGTCCTTGCAGTGCTCGGCCTGCCAAGATCTGGTCAGACTCCCTGAAACTTGGCAACCGAGCCCTAGGGACAGACTGTGGAACACCATAGCCAGGTGTGAACTCAAGAAACAGTCCCTGGCCCCAGTCTCCTACTTCAGGCATGTACAGAATATATATATATATATAGACTTTCTACCAGGCAGACCCTGGGAAACCCAAGCCCTTCCCAGAGATGGAGGACGTAGGTGAACCTGCTCAGATATCACCGCACGAGCAGGGTGAGAGATGGACCAGACCTCCTGCTTGTTGGCTCCGCCCAGTTTTCTCCAGATATTCCTCACACTCGTCTTGGCTCTTTGGCCTCTGGTTTTACATACGCTCAAGCCCCTGCCTTAGGCCTTGCTTTCCTTGTTTTTGTGTATAATTTATTAATCCATGAAAAGTCTTGAAGGGAAGGAAAAGGGAGATGGTTGCTGAGTAGAGGAATGTGCAGTGTATCTCGCCTTGATGTTCCTGTGGTTCGTTGGCTCCTTGAAGGAACTACAACTACTAGCGTGCCTAGCATGCACGAGGTCCTGGGTTCAATCCCCAAGCTGGTACTTAGATCCTGAAAGTGTAGGGGAAGCAGCCAAGTTCTGGCTGAACCACTGCCCTTTTATACGCAGGGCTTACACTAGCATCTCGGGAGAAATGACACTAACAATCTGTGTACTCCTGACGACTCTTCCTCCTTGTTTTCAACACTCATTAGGGTCCTTTCCTGCTCCCTGTCGACCTCAGTGCTCTGCGTCTCTTGTTTGCTCTCCTCTGCCCGCTGCGGCCCTGCAGGGTCCACTCCAGCCCATTAGCCAGACTGACCCAGGTTCCTGTTTGGAAGATGCCTTTCAGTGAGATGAACGCTGTGGGCTCCATCTTAGTTTACAAAGCTTCAGAAACACAGGGGAAGAAAGAGATCTGGGTTCATCAAATGTTTATTCTGTCCATGAAGCATCTCTAAGTAACTGAAGGTTAAAAAGTCCACCACGTGATTCTTTGAAAATATGATTCTTTGCAGGAAAACAATTCCTGGACCTAAAGGACCTGGAATGGAAGTACTACAAGGGGATTGCGAAGTGGAAGCGCCATACTGCAGATTCACGTATAAAAATTAAATACGACAGTGAGAAGAGATTTGTGAAGAGCCAGCAGATGCCTCGTGCTGCTTCCCCGCCTCTAGTTCAAAAGTCTTTGGTCATTTATCCTCAGGTCGATTACCCCAAAAAGGAAGATTCTTCTTAAATTGAATATGTAGTTGTATTAAAATATCTCGGATCTAGAGCGTGCTTTTGAGAGCAATGAATTTATACATGAGAAGAAGCAGTGGCACCATGGAACTTAGGGACAATCTATGCAAATACACCTGTAAGGTCCACTATGAAACCGTTATTATGGAGTAAAAGATCCAAATTGATCTGCTAATGTAAGACCCAGTTTGGATCAGTGAAACCCATCTGGACCAAGGCTGAGGCAATTCTAGATCATACGAAAAGAAAGGGTGCATGTGAATGAAAACTCCTGAGCAAGAAGAGTTCTTAAAAATATTTTAAGCAGATAAAGAAGTCCGTTATCATAAAAATAGTAGGTAAATTCAACAAATGAGAGAATTAGCACCTGAGGATATAGAGCTCATTCTGAGAACTTAAAAATAACACGCTGACTGCTCAAAGACATGAGGAAGGAAGTAGCACTTGTGAAACAAGAACGAGATTGGAAAAAGCATGAATTGGAAAACTTGGAATGAAAAATAGTCTTTGAAAAGAAAATAAGAGGAACCGTCAATAAATGATCTTGATGGCATACTAGATATATCTGAAAAGAGAGGATTAGTGAGTTGGAAGGTAGCACTGAGAGAGGAGCTTCTAGATCATAGCACAGTTAAAGGAGGAAATTATGAAAGAAGTTAAAGGTAAGGGAGGGTCGGATGAGAAGCTCTGAATTATACCCAGGGTAAGCTGCAGAAGAAAAGAGGGAGAATGGAAAAGAGATGATGTTTGAAAATAAAACAACTGATAGTTTTCCAGAAATGAACCACATGAAACCTTGAATTTAAAAATCTCACTGAGGGAGTGGGGTATAGCTCGG